TCTGCAAATACACAGCACCCACACCCCCATCCCCTCCCTCCATTCCAGCCAGGCTAGAGTGATCACAGCTGCCTTTTCCAATGAGCCTGGGGATGGCCCTCCCACCCTTCCCCACACTGGTGGCCGTTACTAATCAATTGGCTTCAGTGTACAAGCTAAGACATACTTGCCATTCAAGTCTTTGGAATATAAAAATCTCTTTTCAGCATAAAAGTTTCCCAGAATCCAATTGTCAATACATAATATTAGAAGATAATTAAGAGTCTTTAAGATGAGGCCAGCAGGTGGTGTACTGGTTAAGGCACTGGATTCCCACATGGCTGACCACGGTTCAAGTCCCAGCTTGAGGCTCATGCTGGGCATATGTGCACGCATGCCCAAAATCCCAACAGGGGAATGAAGGAGAAGGGATTGCAGCATGGCCATTCCCCCAAGGGGATGATATCTCACTTTCTGTCTGTCTCTCTCCCATGAGTGTATATGCCCTATGGCAAAAAAAAAAAAAAAAGGCTTTAAGATAAAGAATTAAAGTTTAAATGTGAATCCATTCCTTTTTTTTTTTTTTTTGCCATAGGGCATATACACTCATGGGAGAGAGACAGACAGAAAGTGAAATATCATCCCCTAGGGGGCATGGCCATGCTGCAATCCCTTCTCCTCCATTCTCCTCTCGGGATCTTGGGCACACACGCACACGTGCCCGGCGTGAGTTTTAAGCCACTGAGTCCAGGATGCAAACCACAGTCCACTACATGGGAGTCCAGCGACATAGCCATTATGCTAACTGCTGGTCCCAACTCCATCCCTTCTTAACTACATGATTTCAGGCACATTTCTTCACCTCTGTGAGCCTAGTCTAGTATTCATCTGGAAAACAGGAATAACAACAGTATCTACAAGGTATGGTCAGAATTAGGTGTGACAGCTTCTGGCATGGGAAGTGCATGGTATATTCACTGTAATCTCTAATTCAGTCACCTTCCACTATTCCTGTAGCCCCGCTATCCCAGGGGTCTGAAACCCTAGGAAGAGAAACATAGCCCTATTTATGAGGCTTTTAGGTCCTAGACTACAATGATGCCTGCCCCAGGCTCATCAGTGAAAATCTTCCTTCCTCCCAGACACTTGCCTTTGCA